TATGCCTTTGGAAATACTATTAAAAAAGCGAACGCAGAGCTTTTATTGCGGATGGAAACTGTATCATATATTTTACACACTCATCCCCCAGTTTGTTTTATTTATTTTTCGTAAAACTGTCGGTTTTTTTTTAGTACTAAAACACTACACAAAAGGAAACAAGATTACATCAATAATTCCATCTAACTCTTGATATTTTCGTATATAACCAAAAATAGATAAGGGAATTATTATTTATCGTGTTTCGTAATTAATAAATTTCTCTCGGCTCATTTGGGAAATTATTTCTCCCAATAATAAAGCGATAACATCGATGTAAAAACTAAATGTGTCCAATCGATTCGGCTCTACGAGTGAATATATTTGTAATAAAATTTGAGTGTAACGATATTAACTGGGCATCGGAATTCGATCAAAAGCTAAATAGATTTCCGAGAATTATTTAGTTAATTAAATATGTTTTGAACAGTGTTAATTGTCGATAAATGAATCGCGTGATTAGGGAGAGAAGAGGAAGATTTTTTTTTATGGAAGAATCGTAAAAAATGTGCATAAAACGAAACTCTCGTTAGTCGTATATTCATGCAAACTCCTCGAAAAAGTCTGCTTGCAAATCCACACTTAACCCAAAAACTTTTAACAATTACTTTTACGAAATGTACTAAAAATAAAAATTATTTTACAGATGCCGATTATCTAGTCAACAATTCCGTCAATATGTAAGTAGACAATTAGTTAATCAATTAAATTAAACTATTTAAAAAAAGACCAAAATCATGTTACCAATTAGTTTTTATCAAACAATATTCCATTAAATTTCAACTATAAATAACCACAAATTATATTTCGCCTTGTACTGACAAAAACAAGCACACCATTTCAATTAGAGCTAATAGCAAATGTAATTGTTTAAACAATCCCACGTAATTCCCCGACTGATGTACTTTCCGAAGAAACCCGACAACCCCGCTTCGCAACTCCCCCACTATATTAGCCAATTAAAGCACCTGCACTTACGCGAGAAAAACTTATTAAGCTCTAATAAAAACAGATATGCTTCGAGCGAAGGAAAAGCTCATTTTATTGTTAGTAGCAAAGAGAGAATAAGTATCCAAAAAAAAAGGAACCGAATAACGACGTTATTAAGAGGGAAACTCCACGAGAAACGCGAAAACAGCGGGAGGTTTTTAATTTGCGGTATGGGAAAATGTTTGCAGTCTTGCCCGCGAAAACCGCTCGAAATTTGAATGGAAATGTTCGGAATAAACAGCGGGAAAGAAAAACCGGATTAACGAGGATCCTTCTATAAGGACAAATATTTAAAAAAAATTACACCGTTTGTTCCGGTTTGATGAGCTCTACTAACGAGACGAATTAATAAAATAATCAATCATTTCTTGGATTAAGAAATTGGTGATAGATTTACTTGATAAGCTATTTAATCGATCCGCTTTGAAGCGGTCTAAAAATATTAAAAATTTTACGTGCGCGTACTAAAATATACAAATTAATTCTCGAAATGCGTACGATTTATTAATATTTATAATAAAGCGAAAAGCGTACTCGACAATTACTTATTTTTATTCGGAAATTTCGATGGAAAAAATTACGAATTCGTGCTAATGTTAAGCGGAATTCATATACTTATTTTTGCGTACAGTAAACGTTATAAAAGAGTATAATTTAACGTGTGACAAATTAACGTAACGTTATTTTAACGTAAATCCACGCTACAGAGTTTTTCCGAAAGGAAACGAACGTCTAAAACACAGAAATGCGAACAATGTAGGAATTTCCAATTAAGAATGTTTCCAGCTTTTTCCTTCCCATTTTCCGACCCGAATTATTCGATAATTGTCGAGCCGATTTCCGCCCGGCTTTCCCCGGTTAATATCCGAAGAGTGTCGAAGAGGAAACGCGATTTCCAGATGAACTTTCGCACTTTTCTCCCAACTTTAACGGCGACAAACTAGAAGATTACAAAACGAGATAATCCACGAAAATCGGCATTTTTTCCGATCGTTCTATCGATGTAAAAAAAACAATTTCTGACCGTCGAAAACCTACAGCGAAATTCGCTCGAGCGGGAATTCCTCGTGCAACTTTATCCATTTCATCGGCGAGCAGCGAGTGCAAGTTGCAACGTAATTTTTTTTTTAGTATCGCCATTGACTCGGAACCGAAGTGTAGTGTTTATATTCGTACTTACACACGTGGGAAACGTTTTTTTTTATCGTGCAAAATGCGATATCGTGCGATAAATTAAGATAATGTCATCGGTTGACGAGTGCCCGCTTCTACGATGCCTTCTACATTCGGTAATTTCGATTCGATTTGTCGAGTACTGTCCTGGATGGTTCGCGAATTTCCACTAAATCCCCGCGAGGGTTTAAGAGGATATCTCCCTGCAAATAGTAACAATCCTCGCGGATGATTAAATGGATTATTTCGAATAATCGCGACAGTGTATTTCAATTCAAAACGAAACTGTCTATAAATTCCATATTTTTCGCATATTCGAAAATATTGGGACACATCCATAACGTTTGATTTATTCTCGACATGTTTTTGAACATTCTGATAGAAACATATTCGCATGGGAAATGTTCCGATTTATACAATTTTATATCCAAAAGAAACTCGCCTATAAACCAACTATACATAACGAGTTGAAATTCCCTACATACGAGGGGCGTTCGATAAACTTTGTACGATTTTCATCGCGCCCCTCGTATACGCGTTGTACGGCTTTTAATTATTACAATACAAGAGCGCTATTTGAGGTTGATATTGGAAAAACAACGGCATTTTTCATTACACTAACTAGGCGCGGTTATTAAAGGGGCTCGTCTGGTAAAAGTTTCAATTAGATTGCCGGGAAGCGATAAATTTTCTGTCGGTAAATATTTCTACATGGTAACAACATGTAATGAGTTTTAATTAATTATTCTAATAGACGTTGTGTTTTTTTTTTTGTACTACAAACGTATCGAATCAAAAGTATCGATGGAATCCCCGGGGAAGGGGGGGCATTAAATTAAAATTAATCAAACCGGGTAGAATTAATCACTTAAGAGTCGATTTGATCCGAAGGAAAAGGACCTTTCGTCCTTTTTATAAAGCTTCTTTTTTCGGTCCGTTGCTCGGTGCATAAATGCCGTTTGATTAAACTAATTGAATGATAGGCCTCTTAAAGGAAGTTCACTTGATCAATGTAATAAATCCGAAGCCGAAACAAAAAAAAAAGTCCAATTCGCTTGAATTAACATCTAACGCTCCACGCAACATGAAGGTTGCCTACTTATATATATACTTCGTTTGATTAATCGAACGTAATTAGATTGTCGATTTAATTAAAGTTAATTGAAGATCAGGTAGCTGTACAATACGCGTTAGGATTATTAATTCCTTTTCGTAGCATCTAACGCCTGATTAAAGCGTTTTAATATATTGTTTTTGAAGTAGTTAAGCCGAGATTGTTAAAGTTTAAACTACAAACTTTTGATACTCTCCGCCCGTCGAATAAATTAGACGAAAAACAAACTGTACATATTAATTAATCCGCTTCGAATTTTCGCCGGCGTTTTTTTTAATTTTCCCAAAGGAACATTAAGCGCGCCGGTTTTATTAAAAATATTTTCCGCGCTTTTTATATTTTCGCTTTCGAATAAGGTCGTGTAAAACTCCGAAATAATCACTTTATCTTGCGCACGTAAAAGGAATTCCGCGAAGTCGTAGCTAATAATAACAAAATAAAAAAAAAAAAAAGTTTTTCCATTAGCGAAATTCAATTGACCGAATCGTCGGAATTTCGATGTACACGCGCCGCGCCCCACATCGCTATATAAATGGCCTCGCGCAATTTCTAAAAACGTAATTTTCGTTTATCAAAATTAACTTCCTCATTGACAATTGACAGTCGACAAATGACAGGCGACAAATGACAGTTGACAAATGACAGGCGACAAATGACAGTTGACAGGTGACAAACGCGCAATAACAACAAAGAGAGTGTATGCATTCGAGCTTTGTGTTCGGAGGATAGAATAATGGAGAATAGAGCATTATTATCCAAGGAAAATGCTTCTGTTCCGGAGCCTCAACCACGGATTAGATAGCGCATCCTATATATATATATACTCTGTGCCGCAACACGATGAATTAAATTTATAACGCAATTTGCGCGGAACTGCAAATGGCCGCATCCTCTGGTGAATACCGTAAGAACGAAACGAATAAACGAGACATTTATTACGGCGATTAATCTCTACAGGTTTTTTCGAATGAATTTTTCCGTTCGAGCATCAGCACCTCGAGTGCAGTTTTGTGAACCCTTGGTTTGTACGAGTATTTAGCCGATTTTAATCCGCCTCCCGTCGACTTGTACAGTCGCTCTAATTATCCGGGTATTGTGCGAGGGATTATTTGCGTTTCCAAACCGCGGTTATATCAACTTGTCGGGTTATATGTCGGGACATCGTTTTGTTGAATCACCTACGGTCGATCCAGATGGGAACCGGGGGTGCAAAGTGACCGCGTAAAAAGCGGATATCGTGTACGAAGGGCGATGGAAACGGTCCGAGAGATTGATGTAGTTAAATTTGATACAATGCGTACGAAAAAAAAAGAGAAATGCGCTGCCTATTAGTCTCGAGAGTTACGAGGATTGGGTGTGGAAAAGAGGCTTAAAATCGGCAAAAATTTTGAACTATCCAGAATGTCATTCAGTGTTTCTCAAAGTGTGTTCTCAATCAAATGTATCAATTGAAAGACGCCGGTCGTTGTAATGAGCAATTATGTATAGTTTATTTAGCGTTTGAAGCGCAAATTGTACGAATTAAAACGGTTTATTTACCATTAAATTTAAAAATACACACACACACACCTGATACAATCGGTAGCGATTTAATTGTTTGTCGGTATTTTCGAGTAAAAGACGCCGAGCTTAATGGATACAATGACTTATAATGTTTTACATAAAACAACGCGCAAAACAATAACAACTGGATTTACAATTCACCGTGGATTGTAGTCTCACATTCGAGGTGAAATTAGTAAATTCCAGGTGAGTTCGATTACTCGATTACTCCATTTTTTTCACAAATTGCATTCGGTTGGGTAGCCAAAAATGCCTCGTGATCTAATTAGTGACGCGCATGAATGGATTAAACGCAATATGAATCAATGAATCAACCATCAAAACCGGTAAAATAACGGCGCGTGTCAAAGTTCATCATGAAGTCCGGCGGCGACCAATCTAAACGAAATTTATGACAAAGGTAACCGGAGAACGAAATATATCAAAGAGATATGGAACAGCGGCTCGTAAATTCCGACCGGGGCGAACTTGAAAGGGCGACAGATAAACTCGAGAGCGAACGAAAAAAATAATACGATACGGAATTTTTCGGGTTTGTCGGAATCTCTTGTCCCCACTCGATTCGCAATTGGGAGTACTAGAAATTCCGTTTTCGAATTTATTACTTCGTACATGACGAGATGAGAGTTCCGCTTCGTCGCTTAATAACCGCCAAGGCGGTGGCCTCAGAAAGACTTTCCGGTGGTATTCGCAACAACAAAAACATTCCTCGACGATGTGGAAATGTAATTTACCACCTAACCCTTAAACACCCCTAAAAATCACGATTAAACACATGTAAAAAGTGTTGCCTATACACATAGACTCTTCTTTGAATCGTTCGAATACATCTACATAGACTTTATGTTTTCGTTCGCAGAAATGACAAGGAATGTCCAACGACACACCGCCGATAGATTCATCGAACGTGACCATCATCGATGCGACAGAAGGCGCAAGCGCATCGCGACACATCAACGACAGCTACGTCCAGCACGTCGCGCTCGCCATCCTCCTCACCATCGTCATTCTCATCGTCATCATCGGCAACACGCTCGTCATATTGGCCGTCATCACGACGCGACGCCTGCGCACCGTCACCAATTGCTTCGTCATGTCGCTGGCGGTCGCCGATTGGCTGGTGGGCATCTGCGTCATGCCGCCGGCGGTCGCTTACGCTCTCATCGGTGAGTCCCCCGGAATTATACTCTTTTATTAGTTTTACTACTTGAATTTTTGGGAATTGTTGCAGGCGTGTGGGAGTTGGGTTGGATCCTGTGCGATATATGGATATCTTTGGACATTTTGCTGTGTACGGCGTCGATTTTGAGCCTGTGCGCTATCAGCGTCGATAGATATTTGGCGGTGACGCAGCCTTTGAGGTATTCGAGGAACAGGAGATCGAAACGATTGGCTTTCGGGATGATTTTGATCGTGTGGACCAGCTCGTTGTTGATCACTTGTCCTCCGATATTCGGATGGTAAGTGCATTGTATTTTTTTTTTGTATATAAATCGCGCTTGTACACTTCTTCTTGGACGCTTCTGATAGGAGACTAAACGTTTTGAGTGGCACTTCTTTATGTCGCATAATCGAATTTATTCCGGTGAATTTTATATCCGATTGAGATGTCGGTGGAAATTGGATTTTCTCTAATATAAGCGGCGGAGTTCGAATAGATGAGATCGTTTCCGAACGTTTCTTATTGCATGTGCTGGGAGATTGTGCGTGTTAAAAGCCGGTATATTATACATGTTACATAATGGCTTAATGCTAGATCTACTAAAGGAAAACGTAAAGTATTTTTTTTGTCGTAAAAATAATATGTGTATGATGAGTGAACTTGACACGATTAAAGGAATTATGTATACGTTTCAAAATCGGTGTGATTTTAACCTATTTTAAAGTTTGTTGTTGAAATACACAGTTATCGAGTTTAGTACTAATAAAATTCTTGACATCTTTAGAGCCGAATATTAATAGATTGCTTCGCGAAAGAGGACTATAATAATAATAATAACATCGAAATATATTAACGCATTATACCATAGGGAAAATCTAGAATTATTTTACAGTACAAATTACTATAAACTACAAATAGAACAGTTTGAAACTTGTTGAAAAATAATTAGTTTCAACACATCCGCTACTACTCTACACAGGAAATTGCTATCATACCATCGTTCATCTCCGAGTTTATTTGTAAAGACGTATAAAATTAAATTGCAATTATTAATCGTAATTTTCTCTTAATTTGTTGCAGGTACGAGCCGGGAAAACACGCCGGGAAAACTTGCAGGTACAACAAGAACACGGGCTACGTAATTTTCTCGGCGATGGGCTCGTTTTTCATACCAATGGTGGTAATGTTGTACGTTTACGTGAAAATTTCCTGCGTTGTGGCCCAAAGACACGACCAATTGTCCCATATCGATACAGCACATCCTCGAGTAAGTTCAATTAAAAACCAACAATTCCTTCTATATAACTAATAATTTTTTTGTGTATCCAGAAAAACCACAAGTTGATTTACAACAACAAAGAAGAATCCGATATGGATAGGGCTTCTTCTGAATGCGAAGAAACGCATTTACGTTGCACCAGGTTAATTAAACCAACACTTTTATTAACAAACTTTATAATCGTTAATAATTTTCCAGCAACCACTTGCCAGAAGTGCACAAAAACGGCGAACAATCCAAAAAACAAATCACCCAATCGAGATCTCTACGAACAAACTACACCTACAACCAAGTCCACGAGCCTCTGGCGCCCTCTTCCAGATCCACCAGCCTGTATAGGGCCTCGTTTCCCTTGCGCAGCTCATCCAGACCGGAATCACTGACTCTGGACACTTCCGTGTTGAACTACGAGCCCGCCTCCAGGGTGTCTTCGTTCCGAAGGGAAACGAAAACCGCTCAAACGTTGAGCATCGTCATCGGGGGATTCATCGCCTGTTGGTTGCCCTTCTTCATATTCTATTTACTCACGCCCTTTATAGATACGAACGATATCAACACGATGATTTTGTCGTATTTGACGTGGCTGGGTTGGATAAATTCCGCCATAAATCCGTTTATTTACGCTTTTTATAGTCCGGATTTCAGATTGGCCTTTTGGAGGTTGACCGTGAGGCATTTCTCGAAGGGCCACAGACAGAACGCGGCCCTGCAGCACAAGTAAAGTCAATTGATGGGTTTTAAAGAGTTGGAAGCTCCTTTGAAAGTTGTGTAAAATGTAGGTAAATCGCTTCTATGTTATAAACAGTTATAGAGTTATTGTCGAATTGCATGTATACTCGATTATCAGCGTAATAAGTATTGGAATAATTTGATCTCTATGATACATGTGTTTGCAGGAGCAAAATGTGATAGTTGCATTTCGAAAAATCAATTTAAATATGGAGATTAAAAACAAATAATTGTTCCCTTTTTTTTTGTGGCTAATGTAACACCTACATGACGATTTATTGTACAAAGCTTTGGGTTCTTCTGAAATGGCAGCAATTTCATCTGAATAATAAATATTTTTATACTGCAACATTCCGTAAATAAATAGTTTCGTTTCGAAATTTTTTGCTGAAATAAAATGTAAATTACTGTTTTCGTAGAATGTATTTAATGTATGAGCGAAAATGCGAGATATGTTTATTTTAGCGATGCATATTATGATTATTATTATTATTGATGAATAATATAACATGTATACAGTATGTTTGCGTTACCCGGTAACAAACTAACGAAATTCAATTGAGAGTTTAAATTAGAGAAAGTTTACCTAAATTAATCGTATGATAATGTGAGCAAACTGTATGTAGTTTTTTTGTACAAAGCTATAATTATTATAATTAATGAATTTGCGTGTCTACCAAATTATTGTTAGTAAACTGTTCTAGTCATAATTTAAGACATTACATTTTTAATAAACAAGTAATATGAAAAATGTTTTTTTTTTAATCACTCTATACTTATTGTTGGGTTAACAAAAAAAAATTGACTACAACAGGATTCGAAGTCCCCAGATTACACGCAACCACCTTTACAAACTTAGCTATATCAAAGTTGTACTACATACAACATTAGTAACAGACCACGGACTAGCGCCTGCCTAACCAAATACTCTCAAGGTAAAGACCATCGAATCAAGAAACAGAAGAACAAAAACTAAATGTCAATTGTCAATTTTTGACAGTTGGAGTTTGCGGACAAACAAAATTTGAATCTATTGATCCAAATTTAGATTTTTTTACGAAACCTACAAACCTAATCGCTAGAAATAGCCCAATCGCATGAAAAATGCTTTTATACACGGTGCTCCTGACAATCCCCGCTCTAACCCTCGCTAAAGACGCCAACATACTAATGACCGAAGTCTTCACAATACCATTAGAACCCCTAATGTTCAACTGGACACACGAAGGCCCAAAAAACCAATTCGTCTACCAAGCATCCTTACTAAACGCCCCCGATTTACCTTCGTGGATAAATTACATCTACAGCGAACAACACCACTGCGGCTACTTGTTCGGAGTACCACCCGAAGGGCCCGCTACGGTCCCTTTGGAAGTGGTGGCACTGAACAAGGAAACCTACGAAACTCGAGCGGAGAATCTAGACATAATCGTATCGCAGAAACTGAACCCGGCGCGCTACGAAATACATCTCAAAATCGACAATGTCAACGTAGAAGACATGTTCGAAGCGGAGAGAATGGACGCCCTGAAGGGCATATTCGCGAAGGAATTGTGGCAGGAGAGCGCCTTCGATTTGTACGTTACCTTTTTGAATTCGGCCGTCGAATTGGGCGCTCGGAAACCGATGAATCCCGACGAAGGAGAAGGGTAATAATAACGTAGAATCGTTTCCGAGAGAGTAGTAAAAATGGAAGTGTTATTTACAGCGTTGTTGTACGGCTAGGCAGCGAGTTTCCTTTCTCGGCGAAACTGCTGGAGCTCCAGGAAGAAGTGAGGCCTTTGTGGAAGATTTACCCGTGCCCGAGGGATTTCAAAAGGACTTCGGTCGAAATATACTTCAAAGAAGCCGGGTTTGCCATCGATTGGTGTTCGTTCAGATTGGTTAGAATTTCTAAGCTTTAATAAGCTGTATTTTTATTAATAAATTTGATTTGTTTAAAGGTGGATAATAACGATTCAGCGATGCATCACACCAAAGGAAATTTGGTGATCAACGAAGAGGAATATAAATACGAACGTGATGATATTTGGCATTCGATATCGAAGGAGGATGTCCCGATGAGGAGCTACATGCACGAATTGTTTATATCTCTGTTAATTCCTGCGATCGTGTTGATTGTACTCGGATTGTTTTTGTCGTTTCTGTTGTGCTTCGAACACGACGATTTGTAAGTATACAGAAATTTTATATGTCTTAGAAAATCGATGAAATAATGCTTAAATTGGTTGAAATTGTTTTCAGGGAGAACGAAGATGAAATATATTTTCACAATTTATTTCACATTTGCACTGATTATTATTACAATCATTACATTTATACAAGGTAACAGGAACAAACACTAACAAAAAGCCTACTTCGAAGCCTACTAATCACCGATTTGCTACTGATTAAACTTCATGTTGCCTATTATATTTATTTGATAATATTTAGTTGTAATTTCACTTTATATTCAACTATTCTACATCGTTTTAGGGCGAGTCGCGTCGAAGATATTCCCCCGGAGAGAATAAATTACTCGGAAACGATCCATCGACCGGTGGAAAAAACAAACAGCTACAACAGGGACGCGAATCTCTCTCCGGATCTCTGCAGTCATTCAAACAGCCCCGATGCAACTATTACTAGAGGGATACATTGCAGGCCTAGCCCTCCTCCCTATGTCAGGCCGAAATATAGACCGGATTTGTGACGACAGAACGAAAATTCAGCGAAAACTCGATACTGTTAGAGAATGTAACGAATTCGTGGAAATTCTCTCCTGCTAGCTCTTCCTAGTGCAATAATATGGGTGTTTAGAGAATGAATAACGTGAAGATTAGTTACGTGTAGAGATATAACAAGATGCTTTAATTACGATTGTAATCGATATGTAATAACAATTAAAGATATTAAACTGTAATGAGTGAATTTTCTATGTACCTAAAATAAAAATTTCTTAAATAATATCGTCTTTTTTTTAAACTCCCAGTTACTAATTTCCTCCTAACAGAAGAGGCCAAAACTGTCACTGTCACAAACGTCAGTTTCATTGACAAATATGACAGTGACAGCACATTATTTTTATTTTTAAATGTTAATTTTTAAAATGTAAGCCTAAATTTCCGCTTTATACGTTAGAAATCATCACATATAATTCAACATCGATACAATAATGTGATATCGAACGTTAAATATGAAGAAGTACCATCAATTGATACTGTTAATTATATCAGCAATCAGTTTGGGTTTGTTTCTAATATACCGTCACGAATACAATCGGCTGCACTACGTTCTAGAAGTATTCAATTTCTTCGGGCAACCCTGCAACTTTTCCGATTTACAAACGATCGATTTCACGTTGAGACAACACGATTGGGGCCCGCCGCCCGTTTGGCAGGAGACCGAAAACGCTTACATTTACTCGGCCTTTTTGATAGAAAAATCCAAAGCCAAAGCCATAGTATTGCCCAAAGACGGCCAAAAACTACCGAAGAACTGTTACTTATGGCTCGAAGATCGCAAGAAACCGCTCACCGGAAAGTTCAGCTTCTCCAAAATGGTAGACGGAGCCAACTCGTTGGTACCATATTTCTACTATTGCACCGCTACAAACGTCGAAACCGCCCCGTTCGCCGTCTCATTCAATTCAATCACTAAACACGACGGTAACGTAAAGAAAATCCCGCTAAACGACATCAGCGCCCCCAAACCGACCGTCGACATCAACATCACCGTCTGCGTGCCCCCTTTGCTATTCAGCAAACGAAAATTCGTCGAGTTCTTCAGCTTCCACCGATTGATCGGCGTCGAATCGTTCATCTTCTACGACAAAGACATCCCCCGCAGGTTAGTCAAGCTGATGGAGAACCTCTCGAAGCGCCTCGACGTGCGACTGGCCTTCCTGCCCTGGAACTTCCCCAAAACCGAAACCGCCGCCGTCCGGACGATCGTCGAAAACGACTGTCTATTGCGCACCCTCCGCCAGTCCAAGTTCACAGCCGTGTTGGAGCTCAACGAGTACATCGTACCGGTCTCTTCGTTCACCGTAAACGATCTGCTGAGAGACTCCAAGGCGAGCCTGCCCGTCCGGAAGTTTTGCTCCGGCAACGGCGATTTAGGCAAACCAGTGGCGTTGCAGAGTTATAATGTTATCAACGATGCTCGCTTCAATTCCGTCCGATACATCTACAAAAACGACAATCCGGATGGTTATTGGGATAACGAAGCAGCCGCTCCGGACGGATCCAGAGCATCCGTTCACAAGTACATCAAATGCGATGCTAATACCAAAACAACGAAAGACTACAACATGATGAAATTCTCTACCGACTTCACCAGATCCACTTTAGTTCAACTGCTCGTGCATAATCAACTTTAAATCGTACAGCTTGTTTTGTTTTGTTGTTGTTAATTTAACTGTAATATACGAGTACTTGGGCTATTTCTTTGCACGGTTATTTAACTCTAATCTCTTACCCGATACTTTGAGCGAGTTTCCTTCCTCTGTAGGGCCGGTTTCGAGCCATTTCCCCCGCCTTTCGTCCGGGCTTTTTGAGACACTTAGGGGGCGCAACGAGCCGATTACCGGGCCCATTATATCCATTGGGAAACAGAGGACGGTTCCGGACGGGCCCGAGCGCGACACAATCGTTCGATTTCGTTTGAAAAGGAACAGCGACGGGCGAGAAATCGCGCGAGAAACGCCGTTTAATCGGTTCGAATCGACGCGGGGATACTAGAAATAGCGATTTTTTATTGTACTGTACGATAATTCACTCGCTAATTCGCTTTTTTTACGCGTTGTATTCGATTAAATGGTAAGCGGGGCTTTAAAATGCGACGGTTGACTAAAAACTGTCAAAATTTGACATTAATGACATATCGTTTGATAGAAATTTAATAGAGGTGGGAATGGATTTTTTGGTATAGAGGTGCAATAACGACTGTTACAAAATAACCGTTATTTTTTCGAAAATCGACTCTATTCAACTTTAATCTCTAATAGGCGATTTATTTAATGTCGGAACGATAATAAATAATTTTTAGAACCGTTCGAAATGGCAGTAAATTCGCGTATACCGATCCTGGATCGGAAATGAATCGACTAGTTGCATTTAAAGTGCCTAGCCCGGGCGAATTCTCCCGTCTATCTACATTGAAACCCGCTCAGCCGAACACAAACGACAGGAATGTAATAATTGCGAGTACACGGCGATAAATGACATAATGAAGAGCATCCATACCCCTCATTTAATAATTCCGGAGAAATTAATAATAATTGTATTACATTGAATGTTCGAACGGGAGGCACTTTGATGTCGCGCGCGCGCTCTAATATTTCCATTCCTGGTGCCCCCCATTGTCGAAAAGTTGCCCGTTATTAGCGAGCGTATCAAAATCGGGCAATTATTGACGGTGCTCTTCGGCGTCATTCCGAGCATTCCTCGCCATTCGAATCGCGAACATATTTTTATTGCTCAATATTAAACGGCTTTAATGTATTTAATTGAGTCGAACTCCAACTGGAAGCCAGAGACGGAGAATGCTACTATTTTAATTAATAATACATTTTACAGATTTATTTTTTTTTGTTTGGAAAGATATTAAAATTGTTCATTGGATTCTCAAAGCATTTTTTCATCTGTTGGTCTTGGATCTATTTCTGCACAAGCTATAAATAATTGGTGAAAAACTCTTTAATATTACCACCAATCTCGTATACATCAGGAGGATATATTTTTTTACACTTTAATTGGCAAGGCAAGAAGATGTAATTTATTAGAAAATTTCACGACAGCTTTCACAAAGAAACTCATCGATTGATCGGTCGAAATACCCGTAATTGAAATTTCCATAAACGACAATGCGAAAACGAGGAAAATATCTGGCACAGCATCGGTAATGGGCGATCGAGCGACTCCGCGTTAGGCGTAGGTAGGCACTTAAAGGGAGTTAAAAATTGAATAACGCTGATTGTTGAGAGCGACCGGAATCCATTACTCCCGCTATTAGGTTGCAAACGTTCCAAAGAAGCGCTAATGTTTCGTAATGGCGTCGCATTGTCCTTCAATACTTCAATCATTCCATCTGTGAAATAAGCTCTTTATGTTCTTCTCGTCACTTTTATGTACCTCTTTCCTCTCCTCCGATTCGCTCCCTTTTATGTATCGTCGAGAAAATACGATTCTCGACAACAAAAAAATGAGGTGGTAAAAAAATGAGTAATACTAATGATTATTAAAGAAATAAATAGAGGATTTTGTTAGGGAAACAAAAAGGGATATATTATAGTGTACCACACTGGAGCATTCCGGGTTTCGAATGAATTCCGGAGCGCTTTCTGAAAACGTAATCCGCATAAATCTCGACTCCGTGAACAAAATTAGAATATTGAATCTCGTGTTTTGTTAGTGTGAACCGAACTCCACTTTATTGAATCTCCGGGGAAATGAAATGAGAGCTACATCAACTAATATAACGTCGAGGATTTCCCATTCGAAACTCGCCTGGTTCTCCTCTACATATATGGAATATCCTCTGCACTAGGAATATCGGAAATTAAACTCGTTAAAGCGCATTAAAAACGCGACCCTTTTGGACATCGCACAATAAAAAAAAAAAGAAATCATGCACCCAGACTCCCTTATATACATACACGACAATCGCTCGGAAGGATATAATTAACGTGATAGTATTTATTGAGGAGGACTGGTCGCAGCGGGTGATGGGAAAATCAACGCTGTCACCGCCATCTGCTTTCTCTAATAACTCTCTCATTACGGATCACCATGTTGCGATTTGACGTTTTGCATACCCCCGGCTTTTATGTGTTCCCTAACTAACCAAAAACTCAGATTAATTAACCTGTATAAACCGCTAACTAGCTGACTCTGATAGGTTGATTGCGTTTCAAAGTAGATCCGCAGCTGATTAAACATCCGAATCGATTGTTGTTAAAATGTTGTGAGAGAGAGCTCGTTATATACCCGCAAAGATCAAAGGGTTAATTCGTTACAAGAAAATCCACCGACAGAAATTCTTTTTGTATAATAAATAAATTAAAATCTAAACCCATCGTTAGTCGCTTTTTAAATAAATCTCTTATTATTCATTCGTGTTGTTTAGAGGCTCTTCCGATTGATAATAACATCCCTAAAGCAAACAGGCGATATATATGAAGGATATATTCGGGGCTTCCCCTTCGACCGGATTGATCGTTTAATATTCTCGCATTGAGCGTAATAAGCGAAATGAAATTTTTATCCAAATCCCCGATATCACATCGGGAGAAAATCGATGACAACGGCGACGAAAATACAAAAAAGGAATATCGGAAGGGCCAACTCGCTGATATATTCAATGTGTTTTAATCCTTTTTAATGAAACGACGCCGGGAGGAGCCTCCTCGAGGGGATGGATCCTCTCCCGCCAGCGTCGTATCCTGTTCAAAAATATTTAATTTTAGTAGGAAAATTACAGCGAAAATTGCAGTTTTGTACACTCTAAAAATTTTATTATTATTAGTACTTTCTACTGGAGATCTCAACTAATCCATTAAAATTGATTTTTACTAGGAAAATTACAGTTTAAATTGGGGTTTGTATTACAGAAAAATGTTTGACATGCAAAAGGTAGATAAAAAAAATCACTCTAAAAATTTTATTATCCATTATTAGTACTTTCTACTGGAGATTTTTGACAATTTCCAATAATTTTCTTCACCGAAAATCTCAACGAATCCATTAAAATTGTTCCCTTCAAAACATACTATACTATTTACGATTTAAAATCATATATATAAGGAGTTTAGAGCCTCGCTCGGGATGCATTATCAGGATAAATTAGAAATCGTCGAAGCTCCTGCTGATGAAATTCGCCGAAGCACAACCGAATAGCAATCGCGGGAGCCGGTACGAAACGAAATCTTAATTTAAACTTTACAAACCGGTTGACTAAATTTCCTAGACTTTCTACAAAGTAAATTAAAGTGAATCCCGGAATTGTTTCCATTTCGGCGATACCGGGTTAGTAAATTTCGTCTAATGAATTTGTTTCTCTTGGGGAGGCTAATGTTGGATTGTTTGATATGTATGTGTATACAGGACGTTGTTTAAATATCGAAAAAGTCGAAAAAAAAAAAAGGTTTTTTTTTTAAAGGCTACTTAACAATAATCATTAGTCGGATTTCTATTTACAGAAGGATTATATTTAGGGGATTCTTTACAATCCGACTACTGTGTTCTAGAGTCTTATAGTCTGCAAAAGTGCCGTGCCTAAATTACTAGCACAATGCTAATCTCCGGAATAATCATTGGATTCCGGTTGTATCTCTACTCAGGTAATAATGAAGTTTATCTTAATCCTTTTCCTCTGCGGACCTTTTTTTTTCACTCGAAACGTCGCTTTTGTCCCAAAACAACCGACTATTTTTCCCATTTTTAGAGCTCCAATATTTGCCCAATATACCTACCCAATTCTCTAATAAAATTAACACGCTCGAGTTAAACGAATAACGAGTTCGTTATACAAAAATTAGGTTGTTAATTAACTTCTAATTTCTCCTTCCACCGCGAAACGTTTCGTATTTTAAGAGAAATGGAAATATTAGTGTTAATTAATTGTTAATGATTATTTAATTTTCATTTAATGAACGATACGTGCGGTTGCGTTATCGTAAACATTATTTCAGATAAAAATTATAGGTGTATATTTAGAGGATTATTAATCGTAACCTTAACCATTTTTTTATCGAGGGAAATAAAAATGCAAGAGCTGCAGAGGGAATGAAAGAAACAACCAACCGATATAGCCGATAATTCCATTAACATTTCCACAGGATTTAATAATAAAAAGATAGCAAACGAGCGTCGCGACGCCGGGCGCAAAAGTGAAAAATTAGATTCGACGTTGAATAGAGCGTTAGTTGAGGGGTCCCCCGGGGGCACGGGGGGCGGCGTCGAGACGCCGAAACCGCCGACCAGAAAGCGACCGAACCCCCGGTTATTGGTTTTTACGGGATAAACATGGGCGAAATTAAATCCCGAGGCGCTCACGCTCCGCCAGAAAAACATTTCGATATTTAATTCTCGGTTAATTTCGACCAGATTTGGCCCCGACAACAATGAACTCGTTTTCGCGCCGGCACAAAGAAAATTTTGTTTGACCGGACCTCGATTGGGGAGGATGCGCTTTTCTATGCGGCGTGTACACGCCGGAAAATATACATATAGAGGAAAAATTCGATTATCTATCGGGTCTCTCTGATTTGCGTTTTTATTTTTTTTTTTATTGGTTTTTATCCGATGAATTATCCGGTTCTATTTTATTCAAATTTTATTTAATGTTCGTATAATCGAGGATACAAAAGGAGAAGGAAATGCACAATTTGGAAATTTTCGGATTTGTACCATCATACTAGGAATTCGATAAAGTTAATTTTGTTTGGTATTTATTGAAAAATTATGTAGGATCATCTCTTACCCAATGGGGGATTACCGGCGGGGTCTTGAATTATTAACTGGCCTTTTACATTTCTATTGCTAAGCGCCACTGGAAGGTACTTTCATTAATGAATGTCCAAAAGTCATTCAAGGTTTTGTTATCGTAAAATAGTAAGTTTCTGGGAAAGTTTATATAGAGGTATCAATACAATCAATACAATTCAAGTGTAAAAAATGTTATTAAATCACTTCTGGTTCGGATTAGATAATGCCAGGAGTTATCAGTCTTTTTTTAATGAAAATAAACCTAATTATAGTAAACGGGAATTACATTAACTATTTGCCTAATGATCCAACATTATTTTTTAATAAAGCGAAACATGAACATAACCACGTACGCCTCTCACTAATTCATTATTATAGAAGAAAGGATATAATTTGTGGAGATAATTTCATTAATGTGCTTCGAATTTTGGTATCTATATATTTATAGGCATTTAAACTTTCGAAAGATTTTTCGTTTTCACATCTTTACAATCCATAATTAACTTAACTTATAATCACTTCCTTCTGTGTCTTTCAAATCCTCCCAGGCAAAGATAAACAGGAAGGCGGTCTAACAATTAAAGTCATAAGTCAATACCCGATGGGCAATTAGGAAACATTGGATAGTATTTTTATGAATGCAAATCCTTTAATACCTTTGGAAAAGTACATTCGTAAAGTTCGGGTTTACCGTTAATTATACACGTTGAAACACGAAATAGAAATTAATAGACATATAATTGAATTTGAGGAGATTTTATAATGAACTTACGCTAATAACTTCCCTAATAAAATTGTATGCCAATTAAAAAAAATTATTCAATTAAGGTAAAGTACGGTCCTGCGTTTAAATTACCCGTTTATAATAAAACAAAATAATAAAGTATCGGATCAATCACTCGTCCGCCAATATTCAAAGCATCCCCCACCAATCGTCCTTTTTTTTTTCCTATCATCATCATCATTCATTATACGATTTATTAATAACACCCCTTACCAAATAAAAACAACAAACAAAATAAAACGGCATATAATTACAAAACCGATAATGCGCCTAATAAAACACCTGATTACATCTCGTTAATCTTACATTTAATAACCGCAACGCAATCTATTTCATTAACTCGAAACGCGGATAATATAAATAAAATCAACCGAAGGATAATTGCACCGGGGCACATATATCCCGAAAACTGGCGTGGTTTATCGCCGTTCGGCGCCTGCGCATCGCCCGATTCTTCTTCTCGACGGTCCTCCCATTGGTCGAAAGGACGAAAGGCGTCTTGACGGTCCCCTCGAACCATAATAAACCCATGCTCGATGCTCTTCCAGTAGTCAGTCAAGCTCTGGCAACCAAACGGAGCGTTACTCGCTTGCTCGTTGGATTCGAGTGTTTCGTTTCGACCATCATCAGGTACCTGTGGGTGTTATGGCGCAATCTAACGTTCTGGCCGAGGAAATCAGACCGAGGGCGGTGTATAGCATCGATCAAATATTGGGAGTTAGTAGTTCGAGTAATATAGCGAAGAGTATCGGTAAGTGCGTTTTAATTAATTAATTAATTAGAGTTTGGTGGAAAAAAAGTACATTTAAGGGGTTGTATATGGTAGAGGATAATCCGTTGTGCAGGCGACATCACCGGGGAGGTTGTTTTCATTTTCCTCCCTATATCGTTCGAAACAGTTTGTAAAGTTTTTTTGATGGGGATATTAGAGAGTTGAAGAGGACTTTCGACTTACCTGATCAACGGCCATTGTTTGGACCACTCGAAATTTTAAACTCCTCTCTCTGATACATTGCATTGTTGTTTGCACATGTATTGATGGAAAAGAGCAGGGATGTAGTTTCTAAATAGGAAAATAACTCATCTAATTTGGCGAAACTTTCTATTTATTTTTTTTTGTTAATTAATATTAATCTAATTTTCGTTAAATTTGAACTAAATGCGACGATATTACCGGCTAATTAGCCAGACTTGAACTGATCGAATTAAAAACGAATTAACATTTTCGCCAAAAATGCAATTAACAATTCGTACAAACGGAACGTTAATCGATTAAAATTAGCGAAATTAATTAGACGACTCGTTTGGGATATTTTCTGTAATAATATTCCATTCATTATTCATTATATTTCTATATACAAGTAGCTTATTTTGTAGTATTTTGTACCCAATATGAAAATTATTAACCGATCCTCGTATATATATATGAATTTTTTTTGTTCATAATTCGCTCGATAAACGCGCCTCGTATACATCCAGTTACACATATCCAATCCAGGGCAAGTCGCCCAAAGTTAGTTAGAATTACCGTTCAATTTGCATGCATAAATTTATATATGCGTCTGTCGTTTCAAAGGGCATTTTAACACATGGGGCAACTCTATGAATACTAAATAACATCGTTCATATATAGCGAAGTTACGGGCTCGGACTAAAAGAGAATCGCCGATTATTCCACATTAAATTTAACGGAGAATTTAATAACGTTTTAAAGCCTATATACGTTTGGTCTTCGTAACGTTATACACGAGAATTTCGAACGTTTGTTACGTTACAAAAAAAATAACAATAATTTTCCACGCAAATTCAGTTACGAAATATTCCAAATATATCAACTATAAGGCGATTAATTTGGGTATATATACGTTCGCTAGTTATCCACTTAACCAATGCGAATTTTACAATGAAATTTTTCCATTTAATCCCCGTACAACGCGTATAAACTAGCGATAAATTCGTATATTAATATAAAGGATATTTGGTAATTTTTAGTAATTTCCGCGCAGTTCAAAATGTCCCTAGTGTCAATGTTATTTCTCCCATTTGACTTGGGGAATTTTACGACGAGCAGTTGAACTTCCGAAGCGATGTTGTCTTGCATTAGTCTTAAAATTCCGCTCTTTTATGTTGACAGGTTGTGTTTACAATTTGTTGTTTTCGCTACTTTTTTCGAGAGTTTTTCGTGCGGTTTTTGGTTCGTTTTTCGACCTATTTTGATAGAAAATGAGATGGTAGAGGAGAAGAAGACTATTGAAATAATTAACCTAATCATAAAAAATCACATAATGTTTCGTTAAATCAATACTCGCAAGCCCACATCTCCTCCTGATCTACTTTTTCATGTTTAAAATTCTACTATTTAAGACGTTTTTTAATTTCTAAACAACACAACCTTAAATCGAATATATCTGTCACATCAAGTATATCAATAACAACCCGGCAACGTTGCCCGAGATCCACTAATCTAACGAAAATAGCCTTTACAATAACGATTCGTTTTGCAGATTCGGACAATTTGAAAGGCGAATCGATCAGCGAAGGGGAACTGATCGAAGAATCCTTGGACGATTCGGGCGATTCGAGACCGAGGAAGATCCGAAGATCCCGCACCACATTCACCACATTCCAGTTGCACCAGCTCGAAAGGGCCTTCGAGAAGACCCAATATCCCGACGTGTTCACGCGCGAGGAATTGGCCATGAGGCTCGATCTCAGCGAAGCCCGAGTACAGGTAAAAACGCCGCAAATTATTACACAAAAACGCCTTAATTAGAGAGAAGTAATATTCAAAAAAAAAAATCATTTCCGCGGTGTATGGAGCATTTTTTAATTCCTGTAATTGTTTAAAGGCTCCGTTGAAAAATTAAGAACCATTAGTTGGAGCGTTCGGCGCAAAGCTCGCGCTACAATAAAAGCTATTGTTCGTCGGAGGGGCGCACAAAGGGGTAATTAAAAAATTTAATTCTTTAATAACCTCGTTAATTATCCCATCGAATGAGACTATTAAAAGACTCGACGCGCCAAATGGATTTTGCATTCAATCCCCACAAACCATTCAGCACTATTTCTTTCATTATTTTTCCAACGAATATATGTATAATAATCGATTAGTATGAATATATAATTTAAAATCATATTCCCCTCCCCATAGCGAACGATCTCCCGGGTCATTAAATCGCGTAATGCCGGATAATGGACGGACATGAATCGCATCTTAATTGGTAACAATTTGGATAATTAATCTGGCTTGTAACCGGCGTAAGTAGCATCGCAATTGGCCATTGTTCGCCACAATAGCGAGTAATCGGAACTGGTTCCGGGCCCCCCCCGGATTTCTCTCTTCACCGCCACCGATGTCTCTCCAACCGGCATCATTTTAGAGCGACGCTCTCCGCAGAGAGCCGATGTCTCTTTTGTCTAATTGGCCTTTTCGAGCATCGATTCGGATGAGCTCACGCATGCACGAAAATATACTATATGTATATAAAAAAAAAGAGCTCTCTCGCTCTATCTCTCTGGTGGGGTTTTCGTTTTTAGCGAACGCCAGAGAACCGGTCTTAGCGCTGGAGCGATCAAAACAGTATAATATAATGTGTAATGCACGGTTAATCGGATTTAATAGAGAGAGCTCTACTACGGTCGAACGTTCGTTTCGACGAGAGGGCGTTTTGATACACTTGGTATATTTGAATGCATATACAACATGTATATCAATCGGACCCGCTTATACCTGAAGATTTGCATTAATGAGTTACGCAACAATCGAACGTTTAAGCCCGGATTAGTTAATTATACCATCGTAAAACCCGACGGTAAATGTTCCCGTTTAATACTGCTCGACATGAAAAAAATTGTTACACTATTCGTCATATTAAATACATATTTTATAACATCTTGTAGTGGATTAAACCATCTTTTTTATTGTATATATACTGTTCCATAAAAGTTAAGGAAGTTTACAAATATTGAGATTAATTTAAAAGTTGCAGGTTTTTTGATCGCCAAATTTGGTATTAATTGTAGAGGTAGGGACAAAAAAATCCACTCAGATATGCTAGAAAACATTTAATTTCGCAAATTTGAAAATTTGGTGATCAAAAAGTCTGTAACTTTTAAAATAATCGCAAAATTTGCGAATTTCCTTAACTTTTGTGGAGTAGTTTAGTATAAAAATTGTAAATTAAGTACTGATTTCTATACCAATTTTACAGAAGCAATATTTAACTGTATATAAGTAAAAAAAAATAGGTAGAAATGACCAATATTTGGGTACTATAATAGAGTAAAATAAAAGAGTATAAGGTAGACTGGGGCAAATCGGTAGTAAATCGGTACTAAACCATCTTTTCTATACTATATATACTGCTCGACATAAAAAAGGGTATACAAAGATTGTAACACTATTCTTCAAAATATCAAATTTTGTATAACATACACACACTCAAAAACGTTTTGCATATTATATATAAAGTTGAAATGCTTGCTGAAAATCTTGCAGATAGACTAAATGTTGTGTTTGTTCCAGGTATGGTTCCAAAACCGTCGAGCGAAATGGCGAAAGCGCGAAAAAGCCCTCGGTCGCGAAGCGGTATCGTTCATGCACCCGGTAGACCCCGGTCTACCGGACTACGTCGGTCTACACGCGCCGCCGGTGCAGCACAGCGATCACTTCTGGCCGCCGGTGCCGTTCGCGCCGATGTTCAATCCGACGCTGGGCGTCCACTGGCCGCCGAAGGCGCCCATCCATCCGACCTTTCACGCCTTCCTGTCGCAGTACGTGCTGGCGGGCGGCGTGCCGCCCCTCCGTTTCGCCGCCGCCGCCGCCGACGAGCGATCGCGGAGCTCCAGCCCGGAGCCCGACGGGCGGCGATCGCCGGCGCAATTGTCGCCCGACGCCTTGGAGGCGCTGCGATCGCGGACGCAGGAGATCCTGGCGGCGGCGACGGCGGCGCCGGCGCCGGCGTCGCCTCATCGCAAGCTCCACGCCAGTTCGTAGAGCGATTTTGAATTGAGAATGGGCCCGTTTTCGGCGCCACAGTTTAACTTTAGAATGACTCTAAAGTCGTGTCTTTAACTTGACAGATTTGCATTGGTTGTTATGGAGTAACTAAGGACGCGTTCTTTCAAATTGACAGATTTACATTGTTGTTATGGAGTAACTAAGGACGCGTTCTTTCAAATTGACAGATTTACATTGTTGTTATGGAGTAACTAAGGACGCTTTCTTTCAAATTGACAGATTTACATTGTTGTTATGGAGTAACTAAGGACGCATTCTTTCAAATTGACAGATTCACATTGTTGTTATGGAGTAACTATAGGGACTCGAGAGGCGACTTTAGAGTGGCTCTAAAGTTAAAGTGAGGCGCTGAATATGGGTGAATGTGTTTAGATGATTTGAGCGTCTGTTGTGGATAATTTGCTCGTCTCTTCTATCTGAATTTTGTATATATTGGAGGAGAGGTTTCTTCTTCTTCTTCTTGTATAGCTATTGTCGATGATGATAGTGGTGATTTTGTGATGATTTTAATATTTAAATTGTATACTTACTTAGATTTTTTTCTTTAGTGACAGTCGAAGATAAATGTATATAGGCAATAAAAGAGTTTATCACACTTGTATTATTAGAAAGTAGCATTTTTTTTTGTTATTTATTTATTATATAGTTTTAAAACGGATAATTTTAGATTTAACTTGTTTATTTAAATAAATATCACTTGTTGTATAATTCCATCGAGTATTTATTTGCGTAAGTATTCATTCAAATTTGTTCATCGATAAAGAGAGCTATTAAAAAAAAAAGCTCATCTCCACAAAAGGAGAACTTCGAAAGGAACTTCTTCGATTTCACGACGCTTTATTGCGTAGTCACCCATTTAAAGAGATTGTTATCGATACAAAATTCGCTACTGTGGATTGAATAGAAAAGAGGAGAGAAAACTCGTATGAATGACCATCAGGCATTATTCGCAGCGGTAAAGTTGTATGCAGTATAACTTACACCTTTTCTCATATTACCTATAGTTAATAACGTGTAATTCCATCTGAATGTGTTATTCTGGTATTTTTCTGATGTTTACCGCACGCTCAGAGATACACAGATCACCACCACCTGGACAGAAAAAGATACATTGTAATTCAAAGCTCTTTCAAAACGGCACATTGAATTTGATTTTTTTATCGAAATAATTACAGTAAGGTAGAGTGTGGGGTAAATCGGTTGTAAAATTTGAATAGTTCAAATTAAATCCTAAAATGTGGCTTTATTTTTTCTATTATTAGAAATGCTGATAGCACATTAAATTCGCAATTTCCTAAACTAAAGAATCGAGGTATTAAAAGGTTTTTTTGCAAAAGGAAGAAAACGATTTTAGATATTTTTTTAAAATATTGACAATATGTTACATTTACCCCTTAACACGGGGTTCTAAAGTGCAATACAATTATATAGAAAAACATATGGGGCAATTGTAAATACATATTTGTTTTCTCTAAAATTTGATATGCTGTTTATTTATTTATTTCAAAAAATAACAGAGCTACAAAATAATAAAGAAAAAATAAGAAACAAACCCTGTCTAATGCACAAAAGAACTATAAAAATACTAAAAAACATTAACATAATAGGTAAAAATATTACATTTACCCCAGTCTACCTTATTATAGTAGATAAATAATGCTTAAAGTTCTTATAAAAACACCCCCAATAAGTAACAAGTTGAAAGTTTTAAGCAAATGTAATAGAGTTGTAAAATAGAGAAGCTCCTATTTGAGCAAATAATATTCTCTAAACACCTCCAATTAAATCGTTTCTCAAAAATTTCGAATCGCATTGTGACGGTGGTTTATTTTTTCAAAACATTAAAACGTTAACCTCCTTTTTCGTGTATATCTACCTAATAGAAGAAATAATCTGCGCCGGTGCCCGTTTTAGAGCCCATTCCATAGTTAGGGGATTTCGGTCCATTAGCTCTAAAGGCGTTCGCTCGAACGCCCCCGTCGGTTCGGCTCGTCAAAAGACATTTCGATTCTATTTTTTTATTTTTTCCAAGTATACACACAACCTACCTGGGGCCCCTATTCTCAACCGTTCGAAAGATATAGATCCAGCGGAACGATACCGACGGATTATGACTTAATGAAATTTGGGTAAACATTTTCAGGGAAATAGACGAAGAAACGGGTGCCGCACTTCGCCCACAAAAAAAAATCCTTTAAATTCGAATTCCGAGGAAATTACCGCGTTTTCCATCACCACGCTCGTTTGATTTAAAAATTTAAAAGCCCACTTGCCCGGTATTTAGACCGTAAACAAGGCGTAGCTACACCTGGGGCGCCCCGCGGGGCTCTCTATATCTTTATATATTCGAAACCCCCCCCGCATGGACGTTTGGTTTTTCGATTGACGATTAATCCGCGTTACTTTCGCTCGAAGGGAACCTTTCGAACTCGATATAATTCGGTCTATAATTGATCGTAATGCGAAACTTATATAGAGGGGGTTTTCGAGCATTCAACCAGCGGCTGCTGTTCCACCTTTAATAGAGTACTACATGAACAAATCGTCAACAATGTACAAATATTTTTCTGATATTAAAAATGTGTGAAATAATGAATTAGTGAGAACTTTACTGGGCATCAATTCTAAGCAATTTAAAGCATTTTCTTGGGGAAATATCGACCCATTTTTCGGGTGTAAAATAGTGTTATAAATCGAGCCAGTTATATGGCGATGGTTCTCACGAATAACGAGAGAAAAATGTAAAAATAATTAATTAGTGAGATGCAAAAATTCAATTTTACTGGGCATCAACTCTAAACAATTTAACTCATTTTCTCGGTGAAATATCGATCCCTTTTTCGGGTGTAAAACAGTGTTATGAATCGGGCCAGTTATATGGCGATGGTTCTCACGAATAAGGAGAGAAAAAGGGGCCGGTGTTGCGGACCAATGCGCCCGATCGACACCCGCCGGGACCTCCAGAAAGCCGAAATTCGCCGACGAAAAGATCACACTTCAATTAGTTAATCAGACGAAAAGGGCGAATTAAATGGGCATTTCATGCGTGACTTGGATCGCTCAATGGGGCCCTATGGTGTATTCGATTTTTCGGAATAAACGGAATAATGGGCGCAGTGGAATCGAAGCGAAGATGGCTTGAGAACGTCGCTTTGGTTGGGCTTACACCGTGTAATTTACGCGAGGAAATTAATTCGTTAAAATAATTTAATCGTGTATGATTCTATTTTTTTTTTTTTGGTCTGTATAATGGAAAAAGAACGCCGAAAAACGCGCGTACGCCGAGAGCAATTCGCAAAACAAAAGGGCTGTTTTAATAAGGATCGAATTTAAGTTGAGCCTTTATTTGCCCGTTGGATCTGTTTTAAAGCCACTTATATTTTTAATATGGGGCTGCCGTAATAATTCGAAACGATTCCCGTAAGCCCTCGGTAAATATGGAGAAATTTCCTAAACTCTTGATGATAAAAATCGATGCGAAAGTTCGTCTATTCTGATGCGGCTGTTGGAATTCAGACTAGTTAAAAATTCATCTCCTGTTTTGTTAGCCATTTTTCACGATTACAAAGAAATAAGAGATTCCTTTTAATGATATCTATACTGCTTACGTTATTTCGTAACGCAAAAAGGACTAATAACAGGAATGCACGTCGCAAATAAGTTCCTACATCAATGATATAAGCGCATTACCTTTTCGAAATGTACTTTTGATAAATCCCAATTTTACAGACTTATAAATTCAAAGGGATTTATTCCTATATACAAATTACTACCGGCGTATATGCATATTATGTCGAGTATAGAAATATATCCAATGTTATTATTGATAGAAATTATACTAAATTTTTCTGCTATTCTTCTTGAATAAAATTCAAAATGGTCTTGACTTATATTTAAATTGGTTATCGGTAGACATTTCGAATACTTCACTCAAATTTTGACATGTAAACTATACCATTAAAATTGCTCAAATTTCTTTTCGAAAATAATCAAAATTTTTAGTTAAAACATACACAATCAACGAAAGTATAATAAACACTATAATAGGTAAGTAAAAACTTGTTATTATATATAAAGCATTTAATTATTTCTACCAATTTTTTAAGGCAAAAAAAACTACATAAGAATAATCAAAAAAAAACACCCAACAATGACCCAACTACCTTTACACCCAAACATCTGTCTAATGCCTCTTCACCACCAACAACTCTTCTACCATCCCCCGTTACCCCAATACTGCTTCCACCCCCTGTTATTCTGTCCCAACCCTTACTTCGACGAATACATGCGACTGTTCGAAGACACCTCGAAGCCACCGATCTGCGATTGCGACGGGCGTCGCGACGCCCAAACCAGCACCTCGGACGTCGCCTTCTCCGATCATTCCGTCGAAGTGAAATGCACCGAGCTGGACGTTTGCACCAACACCCAAACCATCAAAGACGTGGAGTTCAGAAACGGGAGATTCGTGAGGTGCTTGTGCATGAAACGGTTCGGTTTGCAGGATTTTTGCGAACGTACGGGGTGCAATGGATCCCCCGCCTGCGTTATATTCCCGCCTCGGTGTTTGCCCAGTCAGTTGGTTAAAGTTGGAACTGAAGATAAAAGTGTTTAGATGTGTTGCGGTGAGTTTATGTATGGGGTAATATCGGAAGAGTTTAATACAATGAATTTATAGGTTGTATACAGATTTTTGGTTCACCCGGTATATTGGTTTGATGGGTTATTTAGCTTAGTTATTAGTTTCTTTTGTTGAGGTTTTTACAACTAAAATTCCGACAATTATTCATTTTGTTGGATTAAATGAAGCAATTTTTGTAGTTTTGTTTTGATAATTTTTCGAATCTAATTGATGGTGGTTTTTTAAAAGTTGGTAACATTATCTCGGATGACATGTCAGTCAAACGAATTTGAAGACGTTTTTAAAATGACATCTAGTATCAAAATTTTAGTAAAATAAAATTTTCCGGTCCGAAATCGAACAAATAAAAATTACAGTGAATCGAAGAGAAACATTTTCGAAATAGATGTCGAACGTGCAGTAAGAATGCGATTTTCATTTAAATTCATTAACATGGAAAAGTTCCAATTTCATATCGTTAAATTCCTCATCACAACATTAATTCGTAATAATGCATTTTTAGTTAAAACGCAAACCAATAAAATGATCACCGAACCAGACGAACGCTTCGAAGACGAAACCGAAGAGGACATTTGCTGTCCGCTATGCCCCACCATATCCTGCCTCTTCAACCGCACCATCAGCAGCCACGACCTCGACCAGGACCACCCCTTCTACATGGAACCCACCCTACCGTTCCCCAACCTCACCTACCCCACCGAAGAGATCCTCTACCACATCCTCGGCGAGTACGCCTGCCTCATCGATCACTACCCCGACATCTTCGTCGACGACAAACCCTCCGAACTGGACGGCGCCCTCGCCATCACCATCCCCCATTTGCACACCACCAGCACCCAGACGAAGCGTCGAAAAACCGCCTCCACCGACGGCGCCGCCGCAGGGCCTCCTTACAAGCTCGACATGGAGCTGCGCGGCGGCAAATTCATACCGTGCATCTGCGGGAAATCCCACGGCCTGCAGGACTTCTGCGAGCGCACCGGCTGCATGGGCTCCCCCGACTGTCTGCGCTTCCCCCCCGAATGTCTGCCGGCGCTGTTCCAGGGCCGGCCCCAGCGCGTCGTCTATCCGCGCACCAAGCTCGGCCTGTCGGAGACCGTCGGCGTCGGCGGGGGGCCCTTTCGCGTCGTGGGCCCCTTCGTCGACGGGTCGCACTCGCCGATGTCGGCGGATTGCGGTTGCTGCGAGTGCTTGGAGCGCGACGCGGCGCTTTGGTTGAAGTGTTTGTTGCAGGCGCAGCTCGGTTATTGTGCTGCTGCATATTAGTCTTGGTGGTTATCTAATGTCTATGAGATGTTAGAGTAAAAATTGAGTTGTTGTTGGATTGGTTTATAACTTGTGTATCTTATATAATGAAACAGTTAATAAAAGAGTCGTAACTTGGATGAATTTTTTTTGAGCTACTCGAATTAAGCTTCAGGTTTATTGCTGTATTTGCTGCAGATGCAGCTCGGTTATTGTGCTGCTTATTTGTCCCGGTGACTATCTAATGTCTAAGAGATGTTAGAGTAAAAATTGAGTTGTTGTTGGATTGGTTTATAACTTGAAACAGTTAATAAAAGAGTCGTAACTTGGATTTTTTTGAGCTACTCGAATTAAGCTTCGGGTTTATTGGTTCGACTGGTATGTATGAGCTTGTAAAAGATTAAATTTTAGTTATATGCGGTGGGATATTCGTGTGTTGGGGGTTGGGCTCTTTCACTCTATATACTGTCTCTATTTGAGTTCGGTTTTAGAGGCGGGCGAGTTTTCGAAATTGCCATCATCACGTCGAAATGAAATTTTCGAATGGCGGAGGATTAAAAAATTTGCGATGCAATTATGCGACTAATTAATTTCTTTGTACCGATACGAAGCATCAGTGTTAACGCAATAATAAATAGAAATTAATAAAGCGTCGAAACTATATTAAACTTTGATGAAATATATCCGGATGAATCAAATATATCGAACGAGGGGTAGTTTAATGCAGCAACCGACTAAATTCAAATACAAAGACAAACAGAGGAAGGAAAAATATAAACCTCGAGATCAATGTAAACGTAATAAGTTGGCCCTAATGCCATTGTGAATGGATTTCTGTAGGCGATTACCATATGAAAGTCGATGCGACGACAGCGGCGCCCTCTGCCTCAGGCCCGCCAACCCGACAACTATATATATATATTCATTCATACACCCGCCACCCTCGGATATTGGTTTCTGATTCACCCGGACTCCGGACAAGATCAACACTCACTTACATTCCCTATAGCATTTCGACTTCTCCATCACCACCAATTTCAATAAATTTTACTTCTTCTTCTTCTTCTAGAAGTTCGATACTAATTACGAAATTCTATAATTTTAATCGATTAATTTTATTTTATATTGGTTTCTGATTCACTCGGACTCTTGACAAGATCAACACTCACTAACATTCCCTATAGCATTTCGACTTTATTTCACTTATTCCATCTCCACCACCACCAATTTCAATAAATTTCCTTCTTCTTAATCCTTCCAGAACTTCGATCCTATTAACGAAATTCTAATTTCAATCGATTAATTTCATTAACAACTACGATTTAATACAACTTATAACCCCTCGTTGCTCGTTCGAATAAAACAGTATCGAAACATCCGTCGATAACAATAATAATACCGTAGGGACAGAAAATAATAAAATAAAGCCGGGGAATAGGCGAAAGTCTCCCACGGTCTAAATGGCATTATCGTAATCTGATACAGGCGACCGTTCGTGTTTTCGCAAATGAGAAACTATTTATTAACTAGCGTCTCTATTGTGGAAAGGACTCGCAGGACTAGTTAGAGGAGAGGGCGTTCGAATCAGGAAGTGGGCAGAGAGGCAATTAGATTTCACTAATGATGTCGTTTACGATTACAATTATTCTACTATATATGTTCCTGTTCGATGGAAACTGGAAACTGTTTTTTTTTTCAATACAGGATATTCGGAATTGTTACACTACAATAACATCCAATATTCGATTGTATTAAAGGAGTTGTAGTTGAATAAATTAGACTAGTAGTTAGTTGAGATTAATTACTTATTTCTATCGTCTATCAAAACCAATTCGGTTAGTTTCTAATAACGCTAGGTATATCCTGAAAATCCAGGACATTACCCACTATCGCCCTCGCTTATCGTTCGTTCGAACTAAACCATTTAGAGCTTCTGTTATCGAGCGTTTCTAACAGAGAGCGCCAGTTGGACGATTCGCCTTTTTCCTTCTGCTCCCGTTTCGACGTCCTGCATCCTTAAAATGTTTCGTGGACGTTCATTAAAGGACCCTTTTTCGACTCCGAGGACTCGCCGGGTAATTTAGCCTATATACATTAATAATGCACCGAGTACAGACACCTGGAAAGTCATTAATGAATAATTAATCGTAGCGACATTAGGGATATATATCGATGAATGGTAAATTCGTTAGAGCAATAATTTTGATTGTTTACAAGAGGAAAGTGTAATGGGAAACGATGCGTCTAATACCGCTAAAAGCATTTTGTTATATACAAGTTTGATTGAACTGTAGTTGTATTGGAAAAATAAATTCGTTGTCAATTTTATCGTTAATAGCGTCTCGTTTTATAATCAATCGTATTTACGATTCGATAAGTAGATTACTAAATGTATTTGATTCATTTGTTATATCTATATAAAGTTCAGGTTTTCCCATTTGTATTGGAAGAAGATTGGAAAAAAACGAAATTGCCGGATCCCTTCTTTTTTTATCGAGACAAGCGGGTCTAATTAAAATCTATCGAAAAGCGACCGCGGTAAAAATTAATTTTCCTCTTATTACTTTATTGGTTTGCGTCTGTCTATTTGGCCCTTCTCTTTTTTAATCAGAATGTATTCAGAGACCTTCCAACCATTCTAATTGCCCTTTTATTGCTAACGTTCGACGGTCCGGATCCTCTAAAAGCCGGACGAAAAGCGTTAATAGTGCAACTCTTCGGTCGTTTATTGTAAAAAACTCTGTTGTAATTTAATGTAACAATACGAATGCTAAAGAGATGAATGGGTTGATAAGGATTATAAAAAATTAGGTGATAAATATTGCGCATAAGGACCACAGTGCGATCGATAGACTTGCCTCATCTCGCAGAATTTTAACGTTACCGATGCGATGAATGGTCGGATGGACTTTCGTTCGCAATCTTCACCCCCCGGGTTCGCTCCCCCGTCTAATTCGACATCTTCTATTTTCGATTCGGTTTCGTTTTTTATATTTTTCGTTGTCGTTCCGCCGTTGTTGTTGTTCGATCGGCGATGGTAATGGAATTATCGGGTCAGTTTGTCCGCGAAAATTGCATTTACCATCGAAAATAACTACCAATTATCGCTAATAATTATGATTGTTTGTTGGTTAGAATGCTAGAAGAAATTCACAAGATTCCAGTGAATTGGTTGAGGTGTTTTTGGTACGAAAAGAGGAACATTATCCCATTGCTTCTTTCGATCGACTGTATAAACAATCGCGATGTCGAAGGGGTTTTAATTCAAAGATAATAACCCAAACGAAAATAACGTTTTAATTGTCCCCAAATCAGGTTTCTAATAACCGTTTAAACAGTCTCATTGCAGTCGATGAGATCCAGCGAAGCGCGAAAAGAGAAAAAGCAACAAAATATATTCCTCGCCCCTTTTTCCGCTCTCGTTTAATAAGTGTGGCCAATCGTCGAGTTTAGTTAATATAGTTGGAGATCAAAGGACTCTCCGGTTTTAATTCCACTTTATCTAGAGGGCGTGGAGGGTTCGACCGGAGCAATAAAATGCTAATACCTGTTTGTCGTCGTTGATCAACCATTTAGAGGAGCCGGTCGGTCTATAGATGTGGATGGAGAGTTCAAGAAATTCCTCGCTGGGAATACTAATTAACTCCAATTTGGCCGGTGGATGTGATATATTGCAGAGGAATTAGATCGATCGAATCGTCGACCGGTTAAATTCGTTTTCACTGATGCATTAGAGTCGAGTATCGATTGTTCTCAACAACTAGAGAGAAGAGAGATTCTTCATATAACTTTATTTCCTTTGATACAATTTTTATTGGGCAAAAATTTGAAGCTAAAACCTCTTGTATATAACGTTAGTAATCGCTAATAGAAAACAACAGCGAATTTAAAACAAACAAAAATCGCGATAGAATCTTGAAAAGGAAAAATTAGAGGGAATTTTCCTCGACTGGGGCTAATGCGATTATTAACCGATATTAATTTATTTAAAGGGGGGGAGTGCGTGACCGAGCGCGATATTATAATCGTGTATTTAATTAAGTTAGGATCGAGATTATGCGTGGAAAATACTGGCACGACATTTGTGCATTTGGGATCCGATGTGGAAGGATTTCCGAAAATTATATTTTGGAAATTATGACGAATCGAGCGAGATTCACGCACCGATAACATTTAATAAAACGCTGTGGGCTCGTTTTATATGCCTATATAGATCTCGTTAAAGTGTGTTTGTTATATTTGGAAAATATATAATCGAAATAAACGACTTGGAATGTTTTCAAATTGATTTATTGCGCTATTTACAAAAATTCACAGCGTTGAAGAAAAATAAAATACAATAAATATCGATATATTCGTTATATATATCGGTGTTTTTAAAGGCTATATGTACAATACAAAGTTAATGAAATCACTAGATGGAGATTTGAGATCACTGGGTAAGTAATAAAATGTTTAGTTTATTTTATAGTAATATTATTTTTAATAGGAATCTATTCCAGTTTGATGAACACAATTAAATGATTGAGTAGGTATTACATATTATAATTTGAGATAAAGAATACTTTTTTTTTTCAGGAAATTTTGCGACTAATACTCGTCATTGCACAATAAAACTCACTTATTTTTTTTACAATTTTTTTTGTATTGATGCTCTATGGGGAAACTTAGCAATTAATTCATTAGAGAGGTTTCTGTTATATAGAAGAAAATTTGTACGTTATATGTATACAAAACACCTACAAAAATTTAGGAAATCAAGAATATGATTGAATAGGTATAATTTGAAACTCAATAAAGTTATTTTTTCTGTGTGTGTAGGATAGAACTCTCTGCAAATATATTCTCATTACAAGCAATTAATATCTAAATAGATTCCTGAAAAATGTCAATTGAAAATTATACGGATATTAAACGCTTTCAATACAAATACAACGTAACTATTTACAAACTATTCCATGAGAAATATAAATTAATCTACTACAAGTGATAACATCAACACTCATCACAAAATGTCCAACAACGATAATATAATAAGTACACTATTATTATACAGGAGTATTTACAAAAAAACAAACGGAAAGTTTATATACGTATATCACGTTCAGAAATGTAGCCGAGTATGCGGTCTACCAGCCCGGTAGCATTATAATCCAAATTCTCACAGTAATTGTTCTGCAAACAAACCGATAAGAATCAAATAATGAACAGTAGTACGGATACTTTACTCAAGTAGACCGCATAATAGACAGGTAGACCGCATAATCGACCGGTAGACCGCATAATAGACCGGTAGACCGCATAATAGACCGGTAGACCGAACGTAAACCTCCGTTTGTATGATCACTTCAAACCATCTGCAGCCCTTTGGTGATGTTCTCGACGTGTTCTTTCGCCTTCAGCCGCAGCGCCGCTATCGAAGTGGTCCTCAAATCGGGCGGGGTACCGTTGGGCGAATGGTGGTGCGGGTGCGCGTGCGCATGCGAATGGGCCATGGGCGGCCTGCCGGGATCCGAGGCCACCGGCGACGTCAGATAACTGGGGTACCCGGTCTGAGGGTGGCTCAGGAACCCCGGTAGGGCAGACAGAAGAGGCGGCGACAGCCAAGGGTCCATCGGTAAGGTGAGGCTGGAACCGGCCGCTCGCGATAGAGACGCCGCGTGGTACTCGCTCAAACCCAATCGGGCCGCCTCCATTTTCTCCTGTCGCCTCCATTTCGCCCGGCGGTTCTGGAACCACACCTGGAACCACAAACGAGTGATAGTGTATAACAATTCGTTGTTAAAAAGTAAGTTTTCGATCTTTAACTAGAGCGATTGTGTGTGTATGTATATTTTTATTTGTAGCTATATACAAGGAAAACAAACCGTCGTTTCTTGTTAAAAGGGCGCGAACGAACTGGATGATGGGGGGGCGAAAAAGCAGCATCGACGAGAAGTTTCGTATGCACCCCTCGTTTTTTTTTTCTTTCTTTCTGGTGAAGAATCGTAGACGAATGAAAAGCTCGTCTCGCTCCACCCCTCGAATTTCACCCCGACGACTTGATTGTATATATATACCGAATTCTTGCGTCCCCCGACGGCCATGTTGCTCGACGCCCCGAGGGACCTCGAAATTGGTTTTGAACTGATGCATTAATTGACAATTTGACGGTATTCTTTGGTCGGGCTAATAGCGAACGAAGCTGTCTCGAATCGACCGAATCCGATGAGAAGAGCGCCTTCTTCTTATCGCGGCGTCGGCGAATCCGCGGCGAATCCGCGGCGAATCCGCATCCTAGTTTTGGAGAATAAATCGCTCGAGATCCGTCCCTGTTGTATTCCGGTTTACCCCGCTCTTTCTAAAATAATCATTGCAATTCGGCGCGCAGCCCGTGGGCCCGCAGACGGGCCCATTATTAAATTTGCCTTCATTTTGATATTTAATCGTTTTATGGCGAGCTTTGTCGTCAAAGCTCGGCGCGTTTTCGCGCCCCGAGGCCCGCTCGATTAACGTCCTTAATTAAAGATGCTTCAATTAATCCCCGACTCGGTTTCCATAAAGGTTTTGGCTATTCCTTGTTTCGACGGATTATTGCCGGGAATTATGTGTTTAAACGCACGTATATAGGCTACGAGAAATTTGCATTTTCCAGCTTAATCGTCCGGGCCCGTTCGCCATGATTTTCCCAACGCGAATTAGGATCTTGATTGGTTAAAGCAATGATTAGAATGCTCTAAAGATTCCGGTTAAAAACAGAAGTTACTTCTAACAACGTTTATACCAACCCTTTTATTAGAAATACTTGGTTTTTTTTTTCTTCTAAAGTCGCGTCTCGAGTCCCTAGTTACTCCATAACAACAATGTAAAACTGTCAATTTAAATAATGCGTCCTTAGTTACTCCATAACAACCAATGTAAATCTGTCAATTTGAAAGAATCTCCTTAGTTACTCCATAACAACAATGTAAAACTGTCAATTTAAATAATGCGTCCTTAGTTACTCCATAACAACAATGCAAAACTGTCAAAACTGTCAGAGACGAAAAAAAATAAAATCTAATCATAGTAATCCCTAATTCCAACACGATTGAAACGTCACGAGTTCCAATCCGACCCGACTAATTACCGAACATTTAATTTGGGGGAGGAGGCGGGCACATCAACTAGTAGCTCATTCGGGAGTGACTGCGAGCCCGCCGGTGAATCAACACGGTAGTAACAGTACACTAATAAGCGCCCGTCGCCCCCGCCGACAAACAACCGAACGCATTGTGACAAGTTTTAAACAATCGGGCGCCGCGACGGCCGGTCACGCGCCGGTCACGCGCCGGCCACGCGCCGGAGAGCCCGATTAGCCGGGCGACGGCACCGAAAAGAAAAAAAAGAAGAGGACGTTGATGTGTGTAGCTGGCAATTTATTAGCGGAGAGACCACCGGTTAGGTTTTATATGTATGTATGTATGTATACAAAACGGGGGGCCTTCGGTATATCCTTCGTTTGTATCCTTTCGGCCCCCTCGCGTTAATAAAGGCTATTAAATGTTCGAGGCTGATTCGGCGGCGATCATTAGGGTTGTTAACTTCGCTTCGCGAGAGAGGGTGGAAGGGGATTTTTCGATGTGTGAGCTACAGAGAGAGAGAGAGAGTTTATTGTGCAGGAGTTAATGAGTTTGGTAAATAAACGATTACTCACAACGCCGGGTTATATACTTGATTAAAAATTGTATTATAATTCGCTCGAAATCGATACGAGTTTCTATCAATTAGTGCAAAAAATGTATCTATTTATACATCTCTTAGTACGATAATAAAACGTTTGAATGAAGCGAGTGCTGGGGGGTATTTTCTGTGGAAAATCTGGACGAAATCAAGGTTTGTTATCGCACGAGTTTCGCTTGTAGATTCTCAACAAAGCGCCGTTGTAGCGCCTAATAACAAGGAGGCAGTCGAATTGGTCCTATTATGTCGCTGAAGATTGTATTACCAGAACCGCATTCAGATCTGCGACTGACGTCTTGCTAAATTTGGCCCAGCGTGAAGCTAGAAGGGTCCCTTCGGGACTCGTTTTGCGCTATGAAATCTTCGTGTTTTTTTTTTTTAGCTGTTTATTTTCTGTGAGGGTTTAAAGGAAATCGGGGCTTGTTTGATAATCCAATTTTTAGTAATACTGTAATTAATTAACCGTTTAATGGATTTACAATTTAGAATATTTTTTGGAACGAGCTGTTATTATTTTTTTTACATCGATGAATCCAACATTAATTGCCGCTTTTATGTATTGTGTAGGAATACAAAGAGTTTATTAACTCATTCCAAATTACCTTATAATTAACGTTAACGTTTGTTAGTATAACATAATAAACGTTTAATTAATTATTCATAACAATTCGTATATCGTTTATCTGTCGAAATAATCTTTCCGTTATATAAAGTATAATTTGTTGCTCTTTTTTACTTTTTTTTTTTTTCGTTTAAATGGGTAACATCGATTTTTCTAATGTCATTATTCTGTTTGGAAAACATGATTATGTTTGTCGAGCAATCAAACATCGACTACCGGTAAAACGTTGAATGTAAAATAGGAGAAAAATACAAATGGATTAAGCATTTCCAATATCATTATCGCCGGTGTTTATTCAGGAAATGGATATAAAATTGGTTTATTCGTACTTCAATTTCCCCGACAAAAAATGTATTCAATTTATAACGACTCGTTTGTCATGCTGACAAACCGAGGAAAGAAATTACCCAACCACCTGTTTGAAAGCTGCCCAGCCCATTTTTTTTTATTCTTCTTTTTAATCATTATTCCGGGTTATATCGCGCGATATAGTTCCCGCAGGATATTATGTCCTACTTTACATGGTAATTTTATTTCCCATCACAGATATTATCTGTGATTTATAGCAAATAAATGTTTAGGTTTATTTTCGTTACTTCTTTAAACACACATTTTCTCCATCATTAGAACCCTATTACATCTATCGAGCATAAAAAATACATCGACTTGTGTCGGTGTATAATTTGTAAAATATTCTTTCTTTTTATCAATTCAACCACTCACAATACGATGCACGAATGTTCCAATAATAAAATTGGAAAACCAAGCGGTTTTTCATCAACTATAACATATAACCAATTGGTTACATCAAACGTTCTTTATTAATACGAAATTAAGCTCGATTCGAATTACTTTAGCATTCTCATACATACTTTTAAGCACCAGGTAAAACATATTTCGTGTAAGGATTAACAAACGAGCCGGCAATAGAAGGCATCTAAGTAGCTCGAAATATGATCCCGGTGTAAGATGAGAATGCTTTAAGGATCGGCGAATGTATTATACAATGAGAGAATTAAATAGCTTTACTATAGTTCGAGCTTTACTTACATTACGCCGCCCCTTTTTAACAAAATGTTTTTTTTTTGGGACCTATATCATATACAGGATGTTGAGGAACGGGTGCGTTTCTGATCTTTATATTATATGCAGGCTTTAATGCTGTGTATTGGAAATTTGTAGCCCATTGTATACTGATTATTCAATTATTACAAGGAAACTTTGCGAATGAGATATCTAGTGGAAAACAAAAAACGAAAAGGCCATTATATAGCCGGAATAAATTACCGGGGATATGGAAGTTTACGATTCCGGGCATATTTCTCGAGAGACTAATGTCATGATACGGTATCAGTGTTTGATTAAGCGTAGAGAACTGTTATGGGCCCCCGCTTTTATTGCGGTTCCGCGGAGGGATTTTTATATCGAGGGGTCGGGAATTGATCAAGCTACCGTTTCGAGAAATAAACATGTGTCTTTTTTTCCGTTCAATAACCTTAATTTGCGTTAAACGTTTTTATAGTCATCCAGTTTTTGATTACAAATAGTTTTGTAGTTAACTAAGAATCGTTTTAAATGAGCAAAAATTTAGGAATAGAGTCGAGAACAAATTACTGGAGAGATAACTTTTTTCATTCAATAAGCTCAATTTGCCTCAAACGTTTTTATAGTGATCCAGTTTTTGATTACAAATAGTTTTGTAGTTAACTAAGAATCGTTTTAAATGAGCAAAAATTTAGGAATAGAGTCGAGAACAAATTACTGGAGAGATAACTTTTTTTCATTCAATAAGCTCAATTTGCCTCAAACGTTTTTATAGTGATCCAGTTTTTGATTACAAATAGTTTTGTAGTTAACTAAGAATCGTTTTAAATGAGCAAAAATCAAGGAATAGAGTCGAGAACAAATTACTGGAGAGATAATTTTTTTCAGTTCAATAAGCTGAATTTGCGTTCAACGTTTTTATAGTCATCGAATTTTTGATTACAAATAGTTTTGTAGTTAACTAAGAATGGTTTTAAATGAGCAAAAATTTAGAAATAGAGTCGAGAACAAATTACTGGAGAGATAACTTTTTTTCATTCAATAATCTCAATTTGCGTTAAACGTTTTTATAGTCATCCAGTTTTTGATTACAAATAGTTTTGTAGTTAACTAAGAATGGTTTTAAATGAGCAAAAATCAAGGAATAGAGCCGTTAACTGGGAGAGATAATGGCGTTAAATTGAATGTTGTTTGAAACAATTTTATTTAGTTTCGAAGGTCTGGAAAAGGCGAGGGTAAAGATCCCGGAAAAGAGCAAGGCACATTAGTATATACACATCGCCCCCTCACATCATTTGTCTGTAGAAAAACCCCGTTTCATTTTGGCTCACAAACGAATTTTCCGGCTGGTCGCCTCGCGTCTGCCGCCTTTCC